AAGAAAAGAAGTCTGGAATTCCAAGCAATAATACAGCTCCTGGTAGTCTCAAGCATCACCCCCCTACTGGAGCCATTTTCCCCAGGCAACAGAAAATGGACTAAGTGAAAAATACTCAGCCTTCACACTATAGGTGAAAAAGAAAACAAAAAAACTCACCGCCAACGAGTCAATTCTGACTCACAGCAATCCCACTTGGGTTTTCAAGGTGGTAAAATCTTTATGGAAGCAGATTGCTAGGTCTTCCTTCTGTGAAGTGGCTGGTGGGTTTGAACTGCCAAACTTCTGCTTAACAGTCAAATGCCTTAAGCACTATACCACCAAAATGAACTGTTCTTAGATAAGATGGGGATAAAGACCAGAAGAACTGGATGGTATCCAGCTACCATTACTGACCTTTTTGATCAAAGATCCTAGACGATTCCTGATCAAAATAAGCAAAATGCAGAACAGAGTTTCAAATTTTCTAGACTTTCTGGAGCCATAAAGATTTTAAAATTTAAAATCTTTAAATTTTAAACTAAAAATATTCCCTGAAGTCATCTTAAAGCCAAACAGTAGTTTAGCTTAACTAGTAAACAACATCCCTGAGCACTGTGCTTTTTAAAGGTCTTTCTATATGGATCAAAATGACAACAGCAACTCAAAAGATTAAACAGGAAATTAAGGAAACTTCCTTCCGAGGAACGGCTGGTGGGTTTGAACCACCAGCCTTCCGGTTAGCAGTCAAATGCCTTAGGGACTATGCTACCAGAGCTCCTATATGTTAATGGGGAAAGAATAACTCAAAAAAGGATGAGAATGGTTGCACATCTCAAAGAAAGGAATCAATTTCACTGAATTGAGTACATAGAAACTTTTGAAGTGGTATATGTTTTGTTGTGTATATTCTCAACAAAAGAAAATAATTTTTTTTTAAAAGATGAGGATAAAGTCAAAAGTCACACTCCCTAAATTAGTGCAAATAGGATATTTTAGATATTGATGCTGAACATGAACAAGATAAGGAGAAATGACACAGCAACAACCAAGCAAGAACAAAGTTTAAAAGACAAAGATTCCATCCTAGGAAAAGTAGAACTGAAAGGGGGGTGGAATTCTCACAAATGCTTCATGCTCCAAAACAATGTAGTAAGAACATGAATTCAATAAAACAACGGCTCAAAGATGAGATGATGAAAGAGCAAGACGAAAAAGGGAAACTGGAAAAAATGAACTGCAGATCAAAACAACATGACAACAGAATTAATAAAATAAATTAAAAGCAACAAGGTACAGAATATCCTGCTTAAAATGGAATCACTGACTTATAGGTTGTGAACACCATGAAGACAATAGACGCTAAAAAGTTCAAGAAAAACAGAAATGAAAAGCAGATCAAAACAATCCAATATAAAGGGTCTTTGAAGTGGCAAATCAAACAAAAGGAATGCAAAATGCATTGTAAAATATAATCCATTCACAGAATGATATATGAGAAAGTTTCCTGACATGATTAAAGAAATCAATCTACAGATGGAAAGAGCGTATCATGTTCTAGAAAAATTTACCACAGTGCATGCAAGGCAGATTAGAATAATCAAGTTACTAAATGTCAGTGTGTTACAGGCAGAAATAAAATAAATCTTCCACAATGGTGGAAAAACTAATCAGACTAGCTTGAGACTGCTCCCACTGTCACATCCAACCCTGGAACAATGGCCAAGCTCTAGTGTGGCCTAAGACTATCATACCCAATTGTCCTAGTTCTCCAGTGCTGCTGTAACAAAAATACCACAAGTGGGTGGCTTGAACAAACAAATTTATTTTCTCATGGTTTAGGCAGATAGAAGTCTGAATTCAGGGCACCCGCTCCAGGGGAAGCCTCTCTCTGTCTGCTCTGGGCAAAGGTCCTTGTCTCTGCTCAGCTTCTATTCCTCAGCTTGGGCTCTATCTTCCCTCATCTCTGCTTGCTTGCTTCCTCGCTTAACCTACTCTTTTATAGCTCAAAAGAGATTTACGTAAGACACACCCTACACTAATACTACCTAATCAAAATGGCAAAGAAAATCCATCCCCAAATGGGCTTATAACCACAGGTACAGAAGTGGAGATTTACAACATGTATTTTTAGGGGACACAATTCAATCTTTAACATCAGCCAAGGTGTCTGTCACTCAAATCCAAAAGCAAGGACCAAGCAGTTGCACAGATGAAAATTTTCAGAGACTACAACACTCATGAGACATTCTGGAGGAGTGGCAAAACAACTTCAGGAAACCCAGCTAATTAAGGCATGGGGAAAGCCATACCTGAATAGAAGCATTAAATCTATTTAAATAGAGAATATATTGAGCTACTGGAAAGTATGGTGACAGAACTGAATGGGAATTACAATATAAAATTCATTTTTAAATAAATGTTAGTGGAGATGAGGAGGCAATGGGAAGAGTAAGAATGCTAGCAACCTTGTTCATGAGGGTGGGGACTCAGGGGACACTATCAGAATCAAAACACTGTTTTTAAAAAGCCAAAATTCTAGCTTTGTAATGTTTTCAAAATTCTCTTCCCTTAACCTTAGATGAACGTTTTAGAAAATAATCTCTCATGTTAAAGAAACATTTATTTTAAGTTTAACATTTCTTTGGTTTCACTTCAGTTTATTTTTTTCTATTGAAACTTTAAACTTAATACCATTATCATAACACAGCATTGCAGACAAGTCTCATTTTTATATAAGCCCTTCTATCCATTTTCCTAACTATCCATGTACCTGTCTAAATGCCTTAGAAACTTGGTTGTTATGATGTTCACTTAAGGTGAATGGCGGTGACTTTGGGTGGCTAGAATTTGGGGCGACAGATATTTTCTTCTTTGTATTTTTCTGTGTTACTTGATTTCTTTACACTGAGCACGTATCACTTTTAGTATTTCACACAAACTCAGAATGTTTTATCTTAATTAAAAAAGAAAATAGACTAGACCACAAACATGACAACACATTCACAGTTTTTACTAGTGGATGGTTGGATATGGGTATTTTCCTCTTTTTACTTTTCTATATTTTTCCAGGAAAAAAGTTATCCAATGTTATTAGAGAACATGAAGTAATGTTGAATGTTTATGGTAGCTGTGGTAGTTATGTTTGTGTGTCAATGTGGCTGGGCAGCTGGTGGTAGTTATTCCCCATGATGAAACTGGCAATCAGCTCCAATCACAAGCAGCTGAGTAGCTGTCTTTGGGATGTGGTCTGCTTCCTGTATATAAGGAGAAGCCTTAGGAATGGTCTCTAGCCTTTGGCACGCTTGGAGCCTGCATGTAGCCGTGTCATTGCTCAGCAGACTGCTATGCTCTGCCGACCTTAGGACTTACAATGGACTTCAGTTAATAGCCTGCCATATGGTTTGGTAACATCGGGACTGTGCCTTTTTACTTGTCAACCTTGGGACTTCTCAGCCTCAGCAGCCAGCAGCTGTCAGAGTGAAAAAATGCCTCTAGCTCCAGTGGCCTGGGAGCAGGAGGCAAAGCTGGACCCCAAGTATGAAGGGTTTTCACCCAGCCCCTAGAGCCTGGCACTTTGAACTTGGACTTAAAGCCTCCAAATTGTAAGAGTAAATTCCCATTTGTGGTATATTTCTTGTCAGAGCAGCACTAGGTAACTAGAACAGTAGCTAATAAAAAGATTAAGAGAAAAAAAGGAAACTACCGTCCCTAAGGCATTTGACTGCTAACCAGAAGGTTGGTGGTTCAAACCTTCCAACTGCTCCACAGAAGGAAGAAGAGGCAATCTACTTCCATAAGGATTTGCCACCTTGAAAACCATAGGTCGCTATGAGTCGGAATCGACTTGATGGCAGTGGGTTTTTATGTATATGTATATATATGCATGTATAAAGGAGCTCTGGTGGTATAGTGGTTAAGGCATTTGGCTGTTAACACAAAAGGTCAGTGGTTCAAACCCACCAGCTGCTCCACAGAAGAAAGATGAGGCAGTCTGCTTCCAAAAAGATTTACAGCCTTGAAAACTCAATGGGGGTTGCTATGAGTCAGAACCTACTTGACGGCAGTAAGTTTGGTGGGGTTTTTTTAATTTATGGGGATAGACATATTGATATAGCCAGGAGAGTTAATCACTGGATATAGGTTTATACATTATTTTTCTTTCTCTTTCTTACCTTTCTTAATTCCTAGAAGGTGAGTGAGCATTTATTACTTGTATAATTAATTAAAAACATACATTTTGGTTTTTGGCTTTAATAGAAGGGGCTTCTCCTTATGGCATAATTCCTGGTCCGAAGGTGTTTGGTTGGGAAGAGCACCAGGCAGTGCTCTGGAGGGGGAATCAAAACCTCAGATGGAGAAGATGACTGGGTGATTTCTAAGTTCCCTTGTTGTGATGGTTAAGTGCCATCAAGTTGACTTTCAACTCAAAGCAATCCCATGGAACAGAATAGATCTGTCCCATAGGATTTTCTAGGTTGTAACCTTCACAGGAGCAGATCACCAGATCTTTATTCTGTGGATCTAGGTGGGTTCAAACTGCCACCCATTCAGTTAGCAGCTGAGCACTTACTCACTGTGCCACCAGAGTTCCTTTAAGTTCTCTTAGAGCTCTGCAATTCAATGACTCTCTCAGTCCAAACACGGAACAAAGGGCTGAAGACTGCCCAAAGTCAGACACAGTTCACAAGCTTTGCCCACGCCATACCACTGCGAGTTGTGTATGCAGCCAAGAACACATTTGTTATGTCAGAGGCCAGATTAAGAAAATGCCTTGATTCACACTCCAGAATATATAGGCATCCTGGAACAATACACCACGCAGAAGCCTGACATGCCCAATCTATACTGCCCAAGCTTATAGCCTTCATGTGCTTTTGATGGTTAAAAACAAAAGAAAAGAAAAGAAAAAAAAAGCATGTAAAGTTCTTAAAAGTGGTTACCTTCAGCTTCACGGACATGCAGATACTCAGCATGCTTAGACCTTAGGGTTTGGAATATTCAACTAGAACAAAACTCACCAGTGGCTATGGCCCAGTAAACGTCTGATCCATTCAGTAACTCACCACATGCTATGGGAGAATAAACCTGGGACCCAGGAACTTGAAGCAGAATTCGAAATGGAGCAACCCGTGCATTGGAATCCAGCACTGCATCCAGAGCACCTACCAGGCGACCTTCAAGATAAAAGAGAAGAAAGTGCACCTGTGAGCACAGGGAATGTGTTTAACAGCTTAACTCTCACTCCTCACTTATCGACATGGTTAGGTTCCAAAGACCAGGTCCTTGGCAAAACTGGGCATTATGTGAAAACGGATGATGACCACATTAGATCACAAAATGGAGGACAACTACATCATTACTTAACTGTAAAATTGGTTAAAAAGAAAAGAAAAAAAGCATGTAAAGTTCTTAAAAGTGGTTACCTTCAGCTTCACAGACATGCAGATACTCGACATTACATAACTGGCAAACAACTGAGAATCATGGCCCAGCCAAGCTGACACACAATCTTAACTATCACAGTTTACTTAAGTCACCTCACAGCTTGGTGTTTGTTACTGCCAGAAATACATCACTGATGAGCAAAACAGTCAGATAGTAGATTTTTTACTACTGCTGTAAATGAAAAATGTGAGATAAAGAGATAGTCAATAAGTGAGTAGTTGTATTTATAATTGCCAAAAGCTGGAAACAAGCAAGATGTCCTTCAAAAAGTGAATGGATAAGCAAGTTGTGGTACATTTATTCAGTGGAATATTATTCAGCAATAAAAAATAATATTGGTGAATGTAATTAATGTCACTGAATTCTACACAGGATTGGTTGAAGCAGCAAATTTTTTGTGATATATATAATTGACCACCATTTAAAAAAAGAGAAAGACTCTACAAAGACACAAAAAGACATGGGTGAATCTTGAACACGTATTACTAAGTGAAAGAAGTCTGTCTGAAAAGACCACTGTGATGGTTAATGTTATATGTCAACTTAGCAAACACTATGTAAATCACCTCTCATTTTGTGATCTGATGTGAGCAGCCGACCAGCTGATAGGGGAGTTTCCCTGGGGATGTGGCCTGACTCCAGTATATAAATGTATATTCCGCCAAAGCTCACTCTCTCTCTCTCTGCCCTGTATGCTCCTTGTCACCTGACCGTCAGTTCTTAGGACATGAATCAGCAGAAGCTTTCAGTCTGCCACCTGACCCACAGATTTGGGACTTGCCAGACCTCACAGTTGTGTGAGCCATTTCCTTGCAGTAAATCTCCCTATATATATTTAACTATATGCTTCACTGGTTTTGCTCCTCTAGAGAATCCAGACTAAGACAATTATATACCGTACGATTCTAAATATATGGAATTCTAGAAAAGGCAAACAACTGTAATGGTAACTGGAGGGGAAAGGGAGTTAAACAGGTGAAGCATAGGGGATTTTTAGGGTAGTGAAACTATTCTGTATAATATTGTAATTATGAATAGATGACACATGCATTTGTCAAAACCCAGTTTTTAAAAAATCATTTAGGGTAAACTTTCACCAAAATCACAATAAAAATTGAAAAAAAAAACCCATTTAGGAGGCTTGAGGATCTCAACATTGAATGCAGAATATGATAAAACAAGCTAACTGTACTATAAATACACAAAACGTCCTCACTGAAAGGGAGGGCAGAAGGGGGAAGGTACTTAAGTAACCATGGAAATTAGTGGAATCTCTAGGAAGAAAGGACAAAGAAACTGTACTCCCATGGGGATACAAATGAATAATTCTGACCTTGATAAACATGCATACTGGAATTGAACAATTAAGAAAATGCATGGCAGATGCTAAGAGCCAGATTTCTCACTGTTGGAGTAGGAGTCTACAGACTGCAAGGGGAAAAGGCAAGAATGATCCATATGGTAATAGATTAAAGTCAGAGATATCAGTATGAACTCCTGTTTAATTTACTACAGATACAGATGGTTACGAATACAAATCCATAATTGTGGGTAACAGTGAGAAGAATGGGAATTTCAGAACACTTAATTGTGTCTTGCTGAACCTGTACACAGACTAAGAGGCAGTCATTCGAACAGAACGTGGTTTAAAATCAGGAAAGAAGTGCATCAGGGTCGAATGCTTTCACCATACTTATTCAACCTGTATGGTGAGCAAATATTCGAGAAGCTGAACTATATGAAAAGAACATGGCATCAGGGTTGGAGGAACCCATTTAACAACATGCAGATGGCACAACCTTCCTTGCTGAAAGTGAGGAAGCACTTACTGGTGAAGATCAAAGACTACAGTGTTCAGTATGGATTACACATACATAAAGAAAACAAAAATCTGGACCATAAGCAACATTATGATAAATGGAGAAAAGACTGAAGTTGCCAAGGATTTTATTTTACTTGGATTCACAATCAACATCTATAGAAGCAGCAGTCAAGAAATCAAACAATATACTGCACTGGACAAATATGCTGCAAAAGCCCTTTTTAATTGTTAAAAAGCAAAGATGTTACTTTGAGGACTAAAGTGCACCTGACTCAAGCCATAATATTTTCAATCAACTCCTATGCATGGGAAAGCTGGACAATGAGTAAGGAAAACCAAAGAAAAGTTAATGCTTTTGAATTATGGTGTTGATGACGAATACTGAATATACCATGGGCTGCTAAAAGAATGAACAAATGTATCTTGGAAGAAGTACAGCCAGAATGTTCCTTAGAAGTGAGGATGGTGAGACTTCTTCTCATGTACTTTGGACATATTATCAGCAGGGAACAATCCTTGGAAAAGGACATCACACTTGGAAAAGTAGATGGTCAGTGAAAAACGGGAAGACCCGCAGTGAGACAGATGGACAGTAGCTATCTGCAGTCATTAGAGCAATGACTGTGAGGATGGTGAAGGACTGTGTTTCATTCTGTTGAACTGCAGTTGCTATGAGTCAGAACAAACTCAACAACACCTAACAATAACAACACACGTAGAAGTAATGTTTATGGATGTGTGCATATACACGAGTTAGTACATACACATATATTCCACTGCTCTACCAGTAAAGAGGGCCTAGAAGTAACAACAACCTGGTAGCAAGAAGCACAACTAACGCACATATCTTGATTTCTAATAACACTCTCCAATAAAAGGAACCAGGGGTTGTTGCCAAAACAGCCAATTCGAGGACTAGGCCAGGAAATATACAAGATAGCCTGGAACACCTTATGGGGCCAGAAAGTAAGGAAGTTCTCAGAAAAAGGAAGCAGGTGGACAGGAGAATAACTTCACAGTGGAGGGACCTGACAAATGACCTCAGCCAGATGAGCAAAGTATAAACCAATAGTGATAGCATGTACCCTTGATATGATGTGATGAAAATGGCATTTTTCCTCTGTAGTCTTCTTCCCCAAATCCATAAATTCCAGTCTAATCATGAGCAAAACGTCAGACAAAACCCCACTGAGGAACAGCCTACAAAAACTACCTGACTACTATTCCCCAACACTGTCAAGCTCCTCAAAAAACAAGGAAAGTCTGAAAAACTATGAGTGTCAAAATGGCATCTAAATGTAATGTGGTATCCTGGATGGGCTCTGGAATGGAAAAAAAAAAAGACCAAAGATACCTAAATAAAATATATCTTAATTGTAAAATAATTGTATTCATTTTCTATTGCTGCCATAACAAATTACCAGAAATTTAGTGGCTTATAATTTATTATCTTACAGTTCTGACATGGATCTCACTGGGCTAAGATCAAGGCATCTATAGTGCCACATTCTTTTTTGGAGGATTTAAGGGAGAACCTGTTTCCTTGATTTTTTAGCTTCTAAAGGCCACTTACTTTCCTTGGCTTGTGGCCCCTTCTCATGCTGCTATCTCTCAGGATCTCTCTGCAGATTCCCTCTTCAAAATTTAAGAACTCTTGTGATTAAATGTGCTCACCCAGATAATCCAAGTTAATTTCCCTACTTTCAAGTCAGCTGATTAGCAACCTTAATTCCACTGGCAACCTAACTCCCCTTTGCTACATAACGTAACATATTCATAGGTTTGGCCATTATTCTGCCTGCTGGAATAAGGTATCAATATTGGTTTATTAATCTTTAAAACTTAAATAAAAAAATATCCCCTGAAGTCTTCTTAAAACCAAACAACAGTTTAGCTTAACCAGTAAAAAAAAAAAAAGATATGCTCTGAGCATTGTGCTCCTTTAAGATGTATCTATATGGGATGGAACTGACAATAGCAACTTGAAAGATTAGATAGGAAACTTAAAGGGGAGTGAATTTATGCTAATGGAGGAAGAACAACTTGGAGAAGAAGAGTGAGAATGGTTGTATAATCCAAAGAATGTAATCAAAGTCACTGAACTATACATGCAGAAACTGTTGAACTGGTTTATATTTTGTTGCATATATTCTCAACAACAACAAAATAAACTTAATTTTTTAAAATATTGATTTGTTGCTCAAGACCATGTACAGGGTTGGCAGACAATGTTTCTATAAGCATATTAGTACGGTGTGTAAGAATTCCCAGGTATCTAGTAGAGTTGGCAAGGGACAAAATTGTAGTCACTTCTTGGCCACAGCCACCTACCCAGAGGGAGCTAGTAGTTGGACCTGTGGGCTTGGGACCACAGTTGCAGGGGATATCAAGCTCAACTGGCATAACATACTACATAAAACATTGCTCCACCTCCTACTCTGGTGAGTAGTGACTGGGACCTTAAAAGCTTGCAAGCGGCCATCTAGATGCAATGATGGGTCTCTCCTCATCCAGAGCAAAGAAGAATGAAGAAAACCAAAGATTCATGGAAACAATTAGTCCAAGGGACTGGTATACCATGCAATCCTCAACCTATATGACTATGAGACCAGAAGAACTAGATGGTGCCCAGCTACCACTGTCAACCACTCAGAGGGGGATCTATGTAGGAGATCCTAGATAGAGTGGCAGAACAATATGGAACAAAACTCAAAATCATTTGGGGAAAAAAAAAAGGACCAGGTTTGCTGGTCTGATAGAGCCTGGTGGAACCCCTGAGACTACAGCCCCAGCTGCCCTTCAGGTCTGGAACTGAATCCACTCCTGTGGCTTCCAGACAAACAAAAGACAAGCATGTGAGCTAAACATTTACACTAGGTAGATACACTCCATGGAGAGAACAATCAT